ATTAAATTTGGGGTGGCAAAACTCCACTTCTAGGCAAGATGGAATAACCAGGACTATGTTCTCCACATTCCTTGCCCATCAGACTAAACACTGATCTGAGTGGTTATAAAAGGAGGAAAAGTTAAATAGAAACTGACTTAAATTGTTTTATGACACACAAGCTAGTTTCAAATACAACAAGCACCATATTTACTCTCCTAGCTAAAAAAGCTAAAAACTCAGAGAAAACATAAGAAACCAATCATCTTCAAGGCATGTCAACACCATATTAGGCTGAGTTGACTAAAAAAACAAATCCAGTTATACTCATATACTTCTAAGAAAGAGCTTTATGTCAAGAAGTAGCTATATATCAAGAAAACATCCCAGTCAGTCCAATTCAAGTCCAGAAGCCCTATCCTAGCCCATTAGTCGCTCTTCAGCCACATGCAATGAGGCTGAACGTAGGAAGATCACAGGTCAGTGGGTGCAAAGGAATGTGGATCCAATGATGGTGGCTGTGGCGGCAACCAGGGTCCGCCAGCAGGAAGGTGAAGGCAGAGAGAGAAGAGGAGGTTCCCCAGGGTCCTCCTAAGGGGAAGACCACACCCACAAGGAGGCACCTGATCCACATGTTGAAAAGCACCTGTACATTTTTACATTTCTTCAAGTTGACATGAAACCATGTATCTACCACAAGCACGATGGACAATGGTTTTTGGGTAACATGGAACAAATGATAAGAGCTCTATAAATAAATGCCCTCAGCTGTTAATCAAATGGGGGAGGTTTGGGTTCATCCAGTGGTGCCTCAGAGGAAAGGGCTGGCAATCAACTTCTGAAAAAACGAGCCACCCAAACTCCACAGGGCACATTGAGGGCAAACCCAAGTGAAATCTACTGAACATCCTGAGTGGAATATACTGAGGAGACCGCAAGTTCAGAAGAAGATTTGACCTGTGCAGGACACTGAGTGAGGGAGGACCAGAGATGGAAGCCGGCTTGTCTCCTAGCTCGGTTGTTCTTCCAGGGTCAACTCTCTCCACGGCGATTTGGTCAACTCTAGAGTGTTCATAGCGGGGTGTTTATGTGCACATGTGTATTTATCTCGAAAGAAAGACCAGAAAATTCACTTCCAAATATTAGTGACTGCAAACCCTATAGATCACAACAGAGCAGACTGGCAGACAGAGTGCCAGAAAAGGAGCCTTGTAGGGAAGACGGCAAAAAGTGAGGGCAACAATGATCTCAATCAAAACATACCAACCATGACATTGGAGCCAACTTTAAAAGAGCAGCACATTGATCTAGCCATAGATCTATCTCTATTTATTATATTTGTATCTATATCTATATCACATGAAGGTAAGTCAAAAGGATTGTTAGGAGTGCTCCAGTTTCTATACATACTGGTTGGTTTCCAACAGAGCAGCCTCTGTGAACAGTGGATTACTACAGATGCGTTCCCTCAGTAATGCAGTCATTGTCTAGTCTTAGGAGCCTTTAAAAGACTTTCTTTTGGTTCTTTCGTAAAGAATGATTTGCGATCAAGATTGATACCAAAGTGTTAACAAAACAAGTAGACAAAATTTTAACAAAACGAAAGCAACCGGAAGATATGATGAAGTCAAAGAACTGAACAGAATTTTTGAAAGGGCAGCTCAAGGAGAGAAAGTCAAATATTATAATGAAACGTGCGAAGACCTAGAGTTATAAAACCCCAAAGGAAGCACATGCTCAGCATATCTGAAGTGGAAAGAACTGAAGGAAACATTCAAGCCTCAAGCGTGTCCCTCCTTTCCAACGCTCCAAACCCCATTTGGGTAAAAGGCTGCCCTTCTGATCTCAGATGGTTACTTATTCTAACCTAAGAGTGAGTTCGGCTCCAGATCTGAAGGGGAACTCAGGGTTCACAGGCTTGTGGGTGCCACGCTGCTCAGGAACTCAGCCTGGGCTCTTCTGGATGTTGAGTTCCGGCCCACACTTTCTTCCACGCTAGCCCAAATTCTATCGCCTCTGTGTGCC